TGCTTCTTGAGCATGTGATAGCTACAGAAAAAAAACCCCAAACATATATATATATATATATACACACACACACTTAAAAATATTTCATGATCCTGCCCGCAGCCTGCAGCTTGGCAGTAGCTGGTGGCCAGGTACAGCGGAGTCCCAGCGCAACTGCCCCCCCCGCCCTGTAACGCAATTTTTGGTTTCACCCGGGAGGCAATCCCAGGCCTGCTAAACATGTACTACACCACACACCTATTACCAAGGTCAGCAAGCAGACGGAGTGAAGAGGATCCAAGTCCCCAGGCCTCAAAAGAGGAAATGTTTGAAGATCTGGGATCAAGAGACAGCTTGAAGTTGTCCAAAGCGGTGTTTTGTAGTTCCTGGACTCCTTTTTTATACTACAAACACCAAGTACAGGGTATAAAACTGTAACTCAACATGGAGATGACTTAAACTAAAGTAATTTTTCAATGATGTTGGTATTAACAGTGATAGCTATACTATATTTCTCCTTTAATAAAAATCAACCTGAGGTATGTGCTGAGTTTGTTTTTTCGTTTGTTTGGTTTTTTTTTTTTAAGATTGCTGCTTCACTGCACATAAAGTATTCAGAGTTACCCCGTTTTTAAAACAAGTTTCACGTACCTAATATACACAATGAAGGTGATATAATTCAGTGAAATTGCCTTAAGTTTCCTCTGCCACACCTGTGTGCAGGAAAATCAATTCATTCCATTTCCCTACTTATCTATTTAATATTTAATTTGCTGTTTGTTTTAATTGAAAAGGAGCTTGCAACACTGAAAAGAGCCCTATTGTAAATAAGCCGGGCTTTCCCACTGGGGTGCTGATAAGAGTTAAGTTCACGGCACCACGCAATGATGTGTGTAACTGTACGGGAAACGGTGTGTTAGCTCTCCAGAAATGCCACGAAAGGCAGGGTGATAACTCCAGCTTATTGTTTTAATCTCCTGCTGATGGCCGTGCAAGAGACTTTTCTCAGGGCTGTTGCATGCCTTCCTGGGGGACCTCCGCACTGCGCTGCACGCAGCTATCCCCGCGCTCCGCTTGCTTGTCCGTACTGTGGCTTGTACCTCGCTATTGACACAGAATGCAAATTATACTGTGCACACGACGGAAAGGGCCTCAGGTACTCCCTTTGTGGGATGCCCTGCTCAGTATCTCCTGGAAAAATTGGATTTCTTTTCGGTATAAACACAGTATCAAAACCAAAACAAAATTAGAAATCTTGACTTAATGGAACAGCTTGGGGACAAAATTATGGATGGATTTGGACTTCAGTGTTTTGCCAAAACTCACTGCTTGCTGTCGCCGATCCTCCTGCCAAAAGCAACGTTTGATTTTTGCTCTGCAGAAGCCCATTAACAAGGGCTGTGGCGAGCGCATCCCCGACGAGGACACCCCACCACCCTTCGGGAGGGCGGCAGACCTGCCGAGCACCCCCGGTGGCATGCAGCCCACCAGAGCGCCGCGCCAGGTCCGGCACAGCCCGCTCCCCGTTGGGCTGATCCTGCCACCGCATGGCTGCACGCCCCATCGCCCTCGACGCACCACGAAACCACGCACCCACCCTGCGCCCTACTGAGACGTGGATTTTGGTAAGGAGCTCTGTGTTGAGTCCTGCTTGTCCTCAGCAGTCTCGGTGGCCGAAGCCCGACCCATCTTTCTGCATCCTTCTGCAGTAAATACACAAATGGGCAACGAGGCCCCATATTGACACAGACCAACAAACAATAAATGGTCTTCCGTCCTGCAGTTTTTGCTTTGTGTAGTTCGAGCCACACACAAATAAAGGCTTTACTGTATTGTTA